CCTTGAACTTGGATTAATGTGAACTTATTCTTATAATGTTCCCACTTACCTGGCAAAAGCAAGCAGGAAGACATTACTTCCTTCCTGAAGGAATGAGTTAACATCCTAAATAAATATTATCCTTTCTAAAAATATATTTTGAGATACAATGGCCAACCCATATTAAAAAGCAAGTAATGATCAGGCTGGGGCTGTAGCTCAGTGGTAGAGCACTTGCCTAGCATGCATGAGGCCCTAGGTTCAATCCTTACAAAAAACCTTGTATAAGGATCAGTACAAACAATAGAAAACATAAATTAATCCACAAAAAATTAACATGTAGGAATTATCTGGCACCAACCATAAAATAACACTGCCTACTTAAAGAAATTAAAATCAAGCATAGAAATATATGTAGGGAACAAGTATATATTAAAAAGTGCCATGACATTTTTTGAAAGAACCACATAGAACTTTTAGAACCAGAAAATACAGTAACCAAAATAAAGAGCACAATGAATGAATGGGTTAAAGGCAGATTAGACACAACTGAAGAGAGAATGAATGAAATAGAAGAGAGGAAGAAATTACATTCAATATAGCATGAAAAGACAAAATAACAGAAAATATAGAATTAGAGACAAAGAGGAAACAGTGAGAGCTCTAATAAATGTTAACTGGAGTCCTAGAAGGTAAAATAGAGAAAGGACAGAGGCAATATTTAAAGAAAATGACTACTAATTTTCCAAAATGATGAAAGACACCAGTCCACAAATAGAAAAAGCCCAATAAAGCACAAGCAAACTAAATAAAGAGTTAATGGAAGGTCAGTCAATGGGTATTAATTATGGTTTGATAGGAGAAATGTGTTCTGGTATTCTATTGCACTACAGATAATAATGTACTGTAGGGTTCAAATAAAGCTAGAAGAAAGGATTTTGAATGATTTACCATAAATAAATAATAAATGTTTGAGGAAATATATATGTTTACCTTAATTTGAACCTACACAATGTATACATGTATTGAAACCTCAGTGGTACCCCTTAAATATGTGCAATTTTATGTGTCCATTAAAAATAAATAAAACAGGACTTAATGGAAATAAGTGCTAGTACATTTAATATAAAATAACATAACATCTGCAACATACTTTCAAAAGGCCAGGAAAAAGTTTTTATGTGGTGATAGAGAAAGCAAAGAGGCAAAATGATAATAATTGGCAAATCTAGATGAAAGTCACATAAAAGGTCTCTGTGCTGTTCTTTCCATTTCTGTAAGTTCAAAATCTTTTGAAAAAAGTTTTGGAATAAAGTTAACTCTAAACAGGGAGAGTCATCAAGGGCTCAGATTTTTTTAATATATTTTTTTTAGTTATAGGTGGATACAATATCTTTATTTTATTTTTATGTGGTGCTGAGGGCCGAACTCAGTGCCTCACGAGGGCTAGGTGAGCGCTCTACCTCTTAGCCACAACCCCAGCCCCAATTTTTTTTTAAAAAATGAAGTTCTGAGTCATGCCACCTGCTAACAGCCAAAGCACAGGCTGAAAGCAAAGGGAACAAAATCTGGATTATGAAGGAGCAGTATTCAAACCAGTTATAGTTTTGTTGTAGTAAAAGTTTGTAGCTACTGTCAGGTGTGATGGTGCACACCTGTAATCCCAGTGAATTGGGAGGCTGAGGCAGGAGGATCTCAAGTTCAAAGCCAGCCTCAGCAACTTAAGGAGATCCTGAGCAACTTAGTAAGACCCTGTCTCAAAACAAAACATAAAAAGAGCTGGGGATGTGGCTCAGTAGTGAAGCACCTCTGGGTTCAATCCCTGGCACACACACAAAAAAAAAAGTATGAAGAGGGGTATGTGTATGTGTGTGTGTGTAGATTATATGCAAATACTATGCCATTTTACCTAAGAGACTTGAGCATCAAAGGATTTTGCTCTTCAGGGGTCCTGGAAATAACTGGACAATGAGGTCCAGTTAATATGTTTTTCATTGTTGCTGTTGTTTTAAAAATAAATACTAGAATAAGAACATGCATCAAGGCTGAGCATCTAAAACAGTAGGATGTAGGGACATTTGTCTCTCTTTTTTTTTGTCTGCCCAACAACTTCTTCCCTTCTTGGGGAAGTCCTCTTGAGCATGGTGTTTGTGGGACATGGTGCCCAGACAAGCTGAAGAGGGCAAGTCTTTCTTCTCTCTATCCTCAGCTACCTGTAGGGAGGTATCAGGTAAATCTGATAATTCAGGTCATTACTCCAACATGGCAGCCCTGAGTGGTTTTCCTGTGCTGGTGCCTGATGCAAGATGAGTCAAGAGCACTTCTGGGGACACAGGAAAACAATGTCCTCTCCTTCCATGGATCCTCTGGTCTCAGTTCAGGTCCAGGGTGAGGCTGGCTGGGTGAGGCACTCAAGAAGATGTCCCCAGGCGGAAGAGGACAGGCCCCTCAAGCACCAAGAGGGCTGCAGGTGAGAAGGTGCTGGTCCTGTGGCTCCCCCCCACCCTTGGCCTTCACAGACTTTACCAGGGCCTGCAGCTATAGCCCTGTGGGGCAGAGGTTTGCAGTCAAGAACAGGCTATGAGTCCCACTGACCAGGGGTCAAATCCCACTCCAGAGAGTGAATCCCTAACCTCTGAATGAGGGCAAAACTTTCAAATGAAAAATAAAATGCTTAGGGGGGAATGTATAATGGTGCAGGTGCCATGGCAAACAGCAGGGGGTTCCCCCAGAAAATTGAAAATAGAACTAACCTGTGATCTAGCGATTCCACTTCTGGGAGTATTCCTGAAACAGCTAAAAGCAGGATCTTGAACAGATATCTGAATTCCCAGGTTCATGGCCACATTATTCACAGTAACTAAAAAGTGGAAATAATCCAGAGCCCCCAAAGCAAACAATAACAATCCCAATCTTTCTATATAAAATGTATTAAAGAAAACATCAAATAAATTTCTGGGATATTTATTTAAAAAAAAAAGTGGAAGTAATCCAAGTGTCCGTCTATGGACGAATGAACAAACTGTGGCATGTATGTACAACAGAATATTAATCAGCCTTAAGAAGGAGAGAAGTTCGGAAATATGCTACTACATGGATGAATCTCGAGGATTTATGATAAATGAAATAAGCTAGCCACAAAAAGACAGTGTATGATTCTCTTATATGAGGTATCTACAATAGTCAGATTCACAGGGAACAAGAGTAGAATGGGGTGTCTATGGGATCAGGGAAGGGAACCTGGGGAGTTAGTGTTTGGGGGGATGGAGTTTCAGTCTGGGAAAACAGAAACAGTTCTGGAGATGATTGGTGGTGATGGTTGCAGAGTAATGTAAATGTACTCAGTGCCACTGAAATGACCACTTGAAATGGTAGATTTTGGGGGGCTGGGGATGTAGCTCAGGGATAGAGCATTTGCTTATAGTATGCACAAGGCCCTAGGGTCCATCTTTAGCACCTCAAAAAAAAAAAAAACAATTTTACATTACACATATTTTACCACAATTTAAAAAAAATGCAGCCAGCAAATAGACATTATTATTGCTGTGGGTATAACTGTGACTGCATGACCAATGTAATTCTGCAACCTGTACTCTCAGAAAAACGAGAAATTATATCCCATCTGATTCAAATGTATGATTTGTCAAGATCATTGTACTGTCATGTGTAATTAATTAAAACAAATAAAAAAAAATGCAGCCAGCCATGGTGGCACTCTCCGGTAATCCCAGCAATTTGGGATGTTGAGGCAGGAGGATCACAAATTTGAGGCCAGCCTAAGCAACTTATCAAGACCCTATTTCAAAATAAAAAAAAATAAAAATAAAAAGGATGGGGATGTGACTCAGTGGTAGAGCTCCCTTGAGTTCAATTTTCATTGCCTAAAGAAACCAGGAAAAGTGAGAGGGGGTGGGGAGAGAGAGAGAGAGTTGTGCAAACAATTTCTGGTCTCCTGGTCAAATTCTGATGCTTCCTGGAGGCAAGAAAGGGCGGGAGCTAAGTCAGAGTCTGGGCTCAAGGGCGGAAAGAATAAATAAGAATGGAGAAGGAAAGAATGGGGCCACTGTGGCCTGCCCTTGCCTCCAGCTGCCCGCATGTCTGTACCAGGTACCCAGCGTACCTTAGCACATCTCCCTCTGCTTGGTCCCCTCCCCGTGGCTGCCCGCATCCTCTATTCAGCCAGTCAGAGTGATGACCTTTCTAAAATCTAGATCTGACCACATGTCTCTCCTGCTTCAAATCTTTCAGCAGCTCTGATGCCTCAGCTTCAGACTGGCAAGCCGCGAAAATGTTCCCAGCAGATGCCAGCCTGTTACCCAGCTTCACAGTAGCTCCTCTATCATTCATTTTGGTGCCTTAATGACTTTTGCTCATGCCTGAGCACAAACGCCTTAGCTAAGGTTTAGCTCGCAGTCACACCAGATTGCCCTGCTGGGCCCTGACACTACCTAACCCCAGCTGGGGAGCACTCCTGCCCCTTTGGGGCGCCTGAGAGTGTTGTTTGCTTTCTAGCATTTACCAAGCTAGAGATTGTCTCTTATTGGTTTACACGTTTATATCCTCCCCCCACTAGCATGCAAGCTCCAGGAGAGTAGGGATCACATCTGCCTTGGATCCCCAGCACCTGCCGCCCTGCCAGCTAGACTATGGATGTTTAATAAACAGCTGCTGATAGAGTCCTCTGGTCAGCATGGTCGGATCTCTCCCAGGCCTGTCCCTCTTTCCCACGTGTTTCCTCATTCATCTGAAGCTGGAGAAGCTGTTGGTCCCTTGCACACACTTGTGACTATTCCTTTCCTCTTGGGTCTCCCCTGGCTGACCCCAGCTGCCCAGGCAGGGATTGGACCCAAGCACCTGAATCGAGGTCTGAATATCCACAATAGACACTTGACTTGCTCCTGCTTTGTTCTCACTCTGGGCTCTGAGTCAGGTGTGATCCTCCAGAGAGTAAGGCCTGCCATCTGGCATGGGGCCTTCCCCACTTGAGCACACCTTCTGCAGGAAACCCGGGGCAAGGGTACAGGATGCTCAGCCACAGGAAGCAGCACTTTTTATTGCAACCAGAATCCCCGGGTCATGTGAGAAAGGGATGGGACAGGACACGAGGCTGGACACATCTGGTCACTGATACCAGGCTACCAGTCCAGGACACAAAGCCAAAGGTGTGGAACAGCCCACCAAGGGCCCAAGTCCTCCAGCTGCCTCTTCCCTGCCCTCAGGCAGGGCATCCAGTGGGGCAGGGGTGGAAAGAGAGTGGAAAGGGGGCTCCTTCAGCAGAGCTTTCTCCCAAGAGAGAGCAGTTGGCAGTGGGGTCAAATGGTGCCCAAGAAGCTCAGGGCACTCTGGGCTGACTTCCGCTTGTGTCTGGGTGGGTTGTTCCGGGAAACCAACAAGGCATACCGTGCCTGTGGGGAGAGGACAGGAGGAAGGGGAACAAAGGCTCACAAGGAGAATCACCCGCCAGCGACCACAGGTAGGCCAGGGATCCTTGACTTTGGGCCAGGGCCATGTCCACACCCGGCCTCCTGGCCTCACCCCAGCCTGGATGCCTGGTCAGCCGAGGTCCTATGTGGGGATCTGCACGCCGTCCAGGTCCTGATCCATGATCTGGAGAACATCGTCCAGGATGGAGGGCCCTAGGTCCACGTGCAGGGACAGCAGGGAGCTGCCGTGGGACAGGAAGGGCTCCTCGGCCCCTGACTCTGGGGTCAGCCCGTTGTGGGGCGAGCCAGCCTCTGGAGTCCTCCAGATGCCCACATTTCCTGCCTCCTGTGGGGAAGGTTGCACCTCCAGGTGCAGGCGAGGGGGCTTGGGTGGGGCCTGGGCTGTGGGCAGGGTGAGGGCCTGGGGCCCCCCGATGACAGGTAGGGAGATGGCATTCTTGAGCAGAGGCGATGGCTCGATGGGAAGCAATGGGCCCACGGGGAGCTCCGGGCCACACATGGTGGCAGTGCGTGTGAACTGGAAGGGAAGGGCAAAGCTGCCGTCCTCCTCCGACTCCTCAACTGCAGTTCCCGGCAGAAGGTGGAACTTGCCCTGCAGGAAGGAGATGTCCCCAAACATGTCCCCGCCACCTCCACTGCCGATATGAATGGTATGACGGAAGTCCCCTAGTGGTGGGCTGATCATGTCCGAGGACAGCAGGTCCCGCAGCTTCTCCTTTTTGCCCTTGCGACTGCCACGCTTCAGATAGATGGGGACCTTTGTGGACATAGTGACCTCACCCAGGCCTGGTTGCCCAGCCCGCGGCTTATGCTGCCTCCTCTCAACACCCTCAACCCCAAACTCCGAGCGCAACGTTCAGGTGCTGGAAATGTGCCAAAGGGCTGAAGACCAGGGTGTGGGATGTAACCAAAACGGACCGAAGGAATTGCAAAAATGAAGATTAAAGGCCAGGGAAGGCAGAGGTTGAGATAAAAGTCACTTTCTCCCAAAGGGTTGGAAATTCTTTTTTGAGAACTGGAGGCAGAAAGATGGAGAATCTGTTGCTAGCAGTGTGCTTTGGTCTTGTTCCTGAGATTCTCCACTGGGTCCAGGGCTGAGGAGCTGAAACACAAAGGGGACATATAAGTCAGGGACAAGAGGACAAAAGTAACCATTTCATTTCTGGTCCCCCTGCCTCTGTCCAACTTGGCTCCTCTCCTTGGGGGAGCCCTCTGGAAGAAGCAGGTCTTCATAAATCCACTGCATCTTAAAGAGTAGACCCTGGGAGTCTAAGGCAGGAGGATTGCAATTTTGAGGATAGCCTCAGCAACTTAGTAAGAACTTGCTTCAAAATCTAAAATTCAAAATAAAAAAGAACTAGGGATATAACTTAGTGGTAAAGTGCCCCTGGATTTGATCCCCAGTAAACCTCCTCCCCCAAATAGGACAGAACACCAGCACCAAGCCCCTTCCTTTATATGCATAAAACTGAGGCTTGGAACTTGAGTGATAGGCACAAGTCTTGTACAAAGTCCTACTCTGATCTCTCGCTCTGGATCCCAGGCTCTGCCTATCACCCCCACCTGAGTACTCTCTCCCTTTCCTGATCCACTGCACCTCATGACACATTGTCCCTCATGACATGTAGGTACCAAGTTGCGTGGTGGTCTCACACATGGTCTCAATACCCAACTCAACTGAGGACAGAGAGCTTGAAAACTGTCTGTTCTGCTTAGGCGTGACGTGGGGCAGGATGTACAGTAGGTGTTCTGCAACAGTGCAAGACAGAGGACACCTCCTGCAGGTCCAGTCACATCCCACCTGGAGGGGAGTTTCTGGGAGATTCCCTTTTCTCCTCCTCCTCCTCCTCCACATTAGGAGTTCTTATGTTCAGGGGCCCCTGAATCTAATACAGTGTATGGCCCTCCCTCCCTGCCCACACCTGAAGAGCAGGTAGGGTGGACAGTTTAGATATTTTTAGTGGGAATTCTTACCTGACATTCTTTTGGGCTTTCTGCAAACACATCTCAATCAACACAACCACCCTACTATCACCCCCCACCTTTGAAAATTAGGGTATTGGGGTGAGGATATAGCTCAGTGGTGGAGTCCTTCGCTGGTATGTGTGAAGCCCTGGATTCAATCCCTAGCACCGTAAAAAACAAAAACAAACAAAGAAACAAAAAAAACTATTTTGGGAGGATTCCTACAAGGCATTGAAGAGAGAGAAGAAAATGCAAAAACATGGTATAGAAGGTGCCATTTATTGAAAGCACGACTCCTTCTCCATATAGGCGTGTATAAGAACATACATATATGGGTCTGTATAGGATTCTGTCCTCTATAAAGACAGAGAAGAATCTGGAAGAATTTAGATTGTCCCATGGACTACACTGACAGGTAGGGGCAGAGAGGATGTGTGGAGTCACGGATGAGGAAAGAAAGATGTCCTCAGTAAAAGTGATCTGTAACACTTGGTCCGGTTATTACAACGTGGTGTACGTGTATGGTACACATTAATGCCAAAGAGTGTTTGGCCAAATGTTGATGGTGGTTGCCTCAAGATGTACAATCTCAGGTTAACTTCTCCGTCTTATTCAGACTTTTCTAAACTCAACTTGTTTGTGTGTGTGTCTGTGTGTTGCTGGGGATTAAATCGAGGGCCTTGCTGAACATACTAAGTAAGTGTGCTACCACTGAGCTACACCTCAGCCATCAACTTTTTAATTTTTTTTGGGGGGGGGCGGACTGGAGACTGAACCCAAGAGCACTTAGCCACTTAGCCCTTTTAATTTTAATTTTTTAAATTTTGAGACAGGGTCTGTTTAAATTTCCCACGCTGGCTTTGAACTTGTGATCCTCCTGCCCCAGACTTCTAAGTCGTGGGGATATAAGCCTGGGCCTGGCCATCAGGCCTGGTCATCAAGTTCTTACTAATAAGCATATTGGGGCTGGGGCTGGAGCTCAGTGGAAGCGCACTTGCCCAGCATGTATGAGGTACTGTGTTCGATTCTGAGCACCACATAAAAATAAATAAAATAAAAGTCTGTCAATAACTAAAAAAATTTTTTTTAAATAATGAGCATGTATTATTTATATGCATATATTGTTTATGTAGTCAGGAAAAAAAGCTATTCATATATATATATATATATATATATATATATATATATATATCTTGTAGTTGGACACAATACCTTTATTTTTGTTTACTTATTTTTATATGCTGCTGAGAATCGAACCCATGGCCTCATACATGCTAGGCGAGCACTCCACCACTGAGCCACAACCCCAGCCCCTAAAGCTATTTTTAATGTGGGAAAAAATAAATACACTATGAAAGGGTGTCATACTGGTTTAACAAAAAAAGGAAATGGAGCAAGTATGTCCTCTGCTTCCTGGGGGTGATGCATGGAGGGCCTGGTTGGCACAGTACAGACATGCAGGAGCCCAGATGTGCAATCAGCATAAAGAGGCAAAGAAAAAAATTTGTTTGGGTCATCCAGCAGATAAGGTCAGGGCCAGGATTCAAGCCAGATGAGCCTGGCCTCTCCCACTGCTCCCCACCCTATAGGTCAGCCAGGGGTAAGCAAAGGAGGCATCTGCCAGTTCCCCTGCCTCATCCTTCATCCTGGGCAGGAGGAGGCAGGAAGGAGAAAGGAGGATGCAGGAGCAGGACCCAGTCCTTCCCCCCAATGTGGGCCTTGGATCAGGAAACCCCACCCCAAGACCGGACACCCCAGGTCAGTCAGGCTGAACCATGGACTCTGGACATCTTGCTCCTCCCAGAACACCTGCAGCTGCACAGGAAACAAAGGAATGACTCTCCAGTGGTAGCATTCCAGCTAAGCTTGGAAGGAGCTGCCGGGAGGGGAGGCGGTGGGCCTCCCAGGGTCTTGGAAACCCATTTATCCTCTGTCTACCACACCAGGCCCAGGGACATGCTGACAAATATCCAATCCACCCCCTTTTCAGGAGAGAGCCTGGGAGAGCTTTTCCTTCCTTTCCACTGATGGAGAGTGGGGCTCACCTATGGGATTTGCCCAGAGCCTGAGCCAGGTCCTCCCTCCATCCCTAAATCACACTAGAGCACCAGGCCAGCTTGAATGTTTCCACAGCAAAGTGGGCGTCCCTGACAGCTGTCTCACTCAGAGCCAGATGTACCCACCCAATTCCAGATGTGGAGAGACCAGAGGCTAAGGGGAAGGGTGGGGCCACATCAACCACCCTGGGGAGAGCTGGAAATTACAACCAGCAAGTCTCAAGTATTTAGATTTGGCAACCATGAAGCTTCCCATATTAATGTTCCCAGTCACATCACAGTGAGTGTCCTTATTGCCCTGTACAGAAGTGGGAGCTGAATCCCAGCGATGTTAAGAAACTTTCCAAGGCCAACCAAATAGCAAGAGCTGGCATTGATCCATGTGGCTCAAATGTGGTGGGCTGCCACAAGTGGGATGTATCTGGGGAGTAGGAGGGAAATCACCAGGTCCCTTCCAACTAGTCATGCCCTTTGGCTCCCCACTCCCCTCAACTTGCAAGTGTGCAGAGATGAGAATGAGACTGTCCCTGGGAGGCTGGTGGAATGGCGCCAGGCCGCAGTAGGAGGAGCAGATGAGAGCCATCCCAGCTCTCTGGACTTGCCTTGGACCTCCCTCAGAGTAAATGACTTCCTGGAGGTCGGGTCTCTCCTGTCCTGAGGAATATCAGACCACTCCCCACTAGGAATATTCAAGAAGGAGGCCCCTGACCTTCAAACTAGAAGACTGGCTTTAAACCCAGTTCTATCCGGGAGTGGGTGATCTTGGGCAAGATACCCCTCCTCTCTGGGTCTCACCCTCCTCATTCAGAAAATGGGCTGACGGCTGCTGGAGGCCTCACTGCTGTCCCGCAAGTGAGGGCGTAGGGGTCACTGTCAGTCCTGTCAAATGGATATTCAGAAACTATCTGCAATGCCTTCCTCAAGCACTATGGGTCTCCGGGATACTGCCTTGAACAAGATCAAGAACAAACTGCTCCTGGCCAACCCAGAGTTGGCGAGCGGCAAGCGCTGGTTAACCGGCGGCTACGTCTCCCAGTGTCTGGGTGAGGAACGCGCCCGGCTCTGCAGCCACTAGGTGGCGCGCGCGCTCCCGCTAACGTCCAGCGTCCTGGAGGAGTCCCAGGGCGCAACCGGGTCTCCAGCGCGCCTCCGGGTCCAGGCAGGAGTCCCCGAGGAGCTGCGCGTTCGAGTATCAGATGAGGATTGTCTGTGGGATCGTTTTCTCTTGGGAGTTACTGGTCGCACATACAGACAATGAATGGGGGAAAGGGGCGATGGGGGACCCTGTCCCTGTCTCCAAGCTCTGGGAGGGGCCTCCCTGGTGCTTCCCGGCCTGGGCGATGTCCGAGTGTCCGCTCGGCGCCAGGCCAGAGCTCCGGCGAACAAGCCCCCGCCCCTCCCGCGGGTCGGGTTCCTCTGCCCGGGCTCGAATTCCGGCGCCGTCCCCTCCCCGTCCCCAGTCCGAGGGCAGCTCAGCCCAGCCGGGATCCGTTTCAGGACACTGCAGCCGCGGCTAAAGATAGGAGAACATCTCACCATCGGCTAAAAATACGGCCCGAGCCCAGGCGGGGACACTGGGTGGCCGGAGGACGCTTCTGGGTGCCCGGGGCTAGGACCGAGGTTCCGGCAGATTGGAAGGAGGACTGGAGATTTTAAGGTGGAAGTGCGGCGCCCCACGGGCCGTGCGGGTCACGGGTGGGGCTGCGGGGATCGAGGCGCAGGAGGAAAAGCCCACCGAGCCCGAGAACCTGAGCGGTGGTGAAGCCGGGACCCGGGCGCGATCGGGGACCCGGAGCCTCTGGAATGGGCCTCTCAGGGGACCCCGCGGAGCCGCGGGAGAGCTGCAGAAACCCTGGCCCGAACTCACCATCAGGAGCGCTGTCAGCGGACCCGCGGGAAGCGAAAGCTCGGAGCTGGACCGCGAGGCTGTGGGACCCGACCCGGGCTGTGAACTTACTGTGCGGACAGTGGCCCTAAAGCCCCGCCCCCGTCCTGCAGATCCAATGACGATGCCGCCCCAGTAGGACCACGCCCACAGCCCCGCCCCGCCCGGGCACCGCCCAGGGCTCCCCTAGTGCAGAGGCGCTTGGTTGGGGTACGGAGGCCTCACGCTCCCAAGGGCGCGGTCCTGCTTCCGTTGTTGCTGGCCGGCTCTGTCCGATACCGGGGGTGGACTCCCTGGACTCAAGACTGTGCCCTCTGGAGCCAAACCCTTGGTTCTAGAAGGCCCGGGGAAGCGGCTGCTAGAAGACCCAATTCTTCATATTCACTGGGCATCACTGGACCTATTAAGGGCTGTGTCCGGGGAGGCCCTACTACGCGAATGAATGGGGTACTGGAAATGTCCACGTTAAAATCTTACAAACTCATGAGCATTTTGAAGAGCTTATAAGCTCTCCTAGAAGAGCCAGAGGAGAGCCAGAAAGAGAGACGAGAGAGAGAGAGAGAGAGAGAGAGACAGAGAGAGACAGAGAGAGACCGCAGTGTGTGGTCTGGGCACACCTGTATTTGCTGACCAGCTAGGTGACTTCCAGAGAGGAGGTGGGGCTCTGACTCACTTCATGGACTCATACAATTATTGACGGGCAGGACTTCACAGGGTCTGGAGATAACTGAGGGAAACTCTGTCCTTGTTCCATTCAGTGATTCAACAGATATATGTTGAGCATCTGCTATGGATTAAGCTCTGGGAATTCAGCACCCCCTGGGTTGGAACCTACAGCACAGTAAAGGGAAAGTCAAGAAATCAAGGTCCCAAGCACAAAGTGATATCCTTCCACGTGGGTCAGTGCTAAGATTCAGGCAAATGAAGAGGGGGATAGTGATCTGGTGAGGAGATCTTCATTTTCTGCGGGGTGTCAGCCCAGAAGGTACAGTGGGTCCAGGAGGGTTGGCTCCATGCTGTGAATGTGGGAAGGGCCCTTAGTGAGGCGGGGTGAGGAGGAAGGATGTTAGTGGTAGGGGGGTCCTGGTAGGCAGAAGAATGCTCCCCCTGAGGTGTCCATTTTCTATATCTTTGGAATTTGTGAATGTTTTATTACATCGAAAGAGGAAATTACAGTTGCTAAATCAGTTGGCTTTATGCTATTAATATTTGAGATAGGGTCTCACTCTGTTATCCAGGTTGGTCTTGAACTTCTGGGCTCAAGTGATCTCCCTACTTCAGCCTCCAGGGTAGCTAGGACGACAGGCATGTGTCACCATGGCCAGCTCAGTTGACTTTAAGATAGGTCATCCTGAATTATCTGGGTGGGCCCAGTGTAATAACGGGGACCCTTAAAAATAGAAGAGGAGACAGAAGGGGAGAGTCAAAGAAAGAGACGTTGTTCTAGAAAAAGGGCCAGAGGACGCCTTGCAGCTGTCTTTGAAGATGGAGGAAGAGGCCAGAAGCCAAGGAATTTGTGTAAGGAAATAGATTCCCTCCGAGAACCCCCAGAAGGAACATGGCCCTGCTGACACTGATCTTAACCCAGTGCAACCTGCGTTGAACTTCTGACCCACAGAATGTAAGATAATGAATTCATGCTGTTTTAAGCTTCCACGTGTGTGTTAATTTGTTCCAGCAGAAGTGGAATATGAATACAGGAAGTTTCAGGTTTTAATCTTGAGCCTGCTCAGCTCCTCCCTCAGCTCCCCAGGGAGGATGGGTGAGGGGCGTTCTGCCACGACTAGCCTGGTGGCTTGGAGGAAACAGGCTGAAAAGTTCAGGAAGAGGGAAGGATGACCCAAGGTCCAGTTGTGGCATAGGTGGGTGCTGTGGTTTGAATGTGTACCCCCCACAAAAGAGTGTTTTGGAAACTTAAAGCATTGTTGAGAGGTGTTTGTGTCATGTGGATTTCATCCCTTTGAGTGGATCAGTGCTCATTATAAAAGGGCTTGGGGCTGCAAGTTCAATCTGTCTCCCTTTCCCTTTCTTGTGTTTCTTCTTTCCATCATGGGATGACATAGTTTGAAGGCCCTCGCTATGCTTTTGGACATTCCAGACTCCGGAACCATGAGCCAAATAAATCTCTATTTATTTATAAGCTACCTGGCCTGTGGTATTGTGTTATAGCAGCAGAGTATGGACTAAGAGGCTGTGTGTGGTAAAGGCTGTGCCTTTCCCCCTTTTTGCCACCTGGGTGTTGCCAGGCACTTCTCCCCTCAGGCCCACCAATGCCCTTACCGATTGCCTTTTGTCCCTGAATCCTGCCTGGTGAGTGATCAGAGCTTGAATGATTATCCCCTTGTAAAAGAGAAACTGAGGTTTGGCAGGAGACTGAGACAGGAGAATCACAAGTTCAAGCCCACCTCAGCAGCTTATCGAGGCCCTAGGCAACTCAGTGAGCTCCTATCTCTACATAAAATGTAAAAGGGGCTGGGGATGTGGCTTAGTGATTAAGCGCCTCTGAGTTCAATCCCCACCACTAAAAATATTTCAAAAAGAGAAACTCTTTTGAGATTACTACAGTGATTTGCTTGGCCTGAAAGGGGCAGAACATGAGGGTCCTGAACCCCTTCCCTCAGGCTTCTCAGAATTGTTGTCTCTGCCCTCCCAGTGGATCCTGGGAGAGGAGGGGTGGCTCAGTACACTGAGCTCTGGCCTTTGAGCCACCAACCAGGTTCTGAGCTAGCTCTGCTGATGACTTGCTCTGAGGTCTCCAGTAAAGAACTTTCGCTTTCTGAGTGTCCTTGCTTGTGAAACAGGGGAAGAGCATCAGGCCACATGTGTCCCACACAGGGGATCACATGTGCTTTATTAATGGGAATACATAGGCCCGAAGGCAGCGAAGTTTTGTGAAACGTTACAATAGCTTTTGCGGGCAGCTGTCCTTGCCGACTGACCAGGCAACTCTAATGATTAAAACCACCTGAACCTGTAGGGGTCCAGCTGAGCCAAAGCCCCCACCCCTGCACGGTGCCCCCAAAAGTCCTCCATCGGGGCTGGGGGGTGGGGATGGTCAGGAGCTGCATTCAGAGCAGGTGTTGACACAGACAATTCCAGGGATGGAGGATTGGAGAAGGCTCCAGCTCTTGGTCAGAGCCACCAATAGTCAGGAACCAACCTAGAGCTCTTTGCAAAGATTTTGAGGAGGGTGGGTTTGGGGGTCCTGGGGGAGAAGTCCATAGCCACAGAGCCCCTGAGCCTGGCTCAAGCCCCTGCTTCCCTCCTCCGGCCTGGCTACCAGGCCAGGGCTCCAAGCCAGGACTGGAGCTGCCATCTGCACTCTGGGAACTGTTTTCAGCCCCCCCACGCCCCTGTGGGAGAAGCTTCTGTGTGGCGCTGGTACCCCTTGCCTGGGTCTGAGGACTCAGTTGGGGCCTGGATTGTCCTGCCGGAGGAGCTTCTGGACACTCTGGTGGCCAAGAGGGCACTTGGGAGGGGCAAGGCAGCCCATGGTAGAGAGACACTGGAATGGCAAATGCAACTTCCTTTTCCTTTGCCTGGAGCCTCCCATACCCTGGGACAGTCCCGGCAGCCCCACAGCCCCTCCCCCACTATCACCCCCCCCCCCCACACACACACACAGGGGACTGATTCAACCCTTCCTTCCTGGCTCCTTCTTCCTGGAACTCACTAAGGGCCCTTGGGCCAGAATCAGACGTCCCCTCCCCCAAGGGTGGCCAGCATGAAGAGACCAGAGCGGAAGTCCTCTCTCCTCAGGCTCCATCACCTGGGGACCCAGGACCCTGAGGGAGACCTGGCAGCAGAGACTCTCAAGGGAAGGGTGGAGTCCTCTTGGACGGTGTCTAGGGGAGGTGCTGAGAAGAAAGGAAGCCTCAGGAGATGCCTAGCTCCTTGAGCAGGCCATAGGTCAGCCAAGAGCTGGAAGGGAGCTCCACCTACTTATGGGTGCCCCCAACATCCCAGCTGAGTGCAGCCTGCAGGGCCCGTGTCCTGAGCCCCCAGCTCTGCGCTGGAGTTTGCCTTGATTGTTTCTCATTTCCTTCCCCCACAGGATGCCTGCCAATCGCAGCTCTTCCCTCCTGCTCTTCACCCCCCTCAGAGAACTGGACCCAGCAGAGGCTGGGACTGGAGATGACTGGGCACTCTGCCTTACCCCAGCCTGCTCCCTGGGCCTTGGGCCGCTCTTTGGGAGTTGCATGGTGGCAGGGCCTTGCCGGAGGAACTTTTCTTTATGCCTGAAGTTTGGCTTCTGGCCCAGTGACATGGGGGTTTCCAGAATGGTGACAGCCCTGTCCTAGCAGGGACAGGCCCAGGCACTTCCTCCCAGAGCCTTTGGGAACGTCAGCCCCACGGCTGTCACTGGGCGTAGGGAACAGTTGTGGAGTCAGCAGAGGCTGTCTTCAGTGCTTCCCACGCCTTCAGGGACACCATGTCATTAATCTCAAAACCCATCTTCTCCTTGCCCAGGGCTGAGCTGGAGCAGAGAAGACACAGGTGGCCAAGCTGGGCCCAGCCCTCAGAGAACAGCTAACCCCTCAGGAAACAAATAACCAACTCCAAGACAGCAGGAGGTGTGCCGTGGCCAGGGCCTGTGGTAGAGGCAGCTCTGAATCACCTTGGCTCAGGTGGAGAACCCAAGAGAACAGCCATAGAAGGATTTGTCCTGCCAAGAGATGGAAGCAGAAGGGACAGTCAGAAGGGCCTCGAGGAGAAGGTGACAAGTGAGCAGGGTGGACAGGTGAAAGGGACTTTGCTGGGCCGAGAAAGGGAAGGACACTGGAGCTGCCATCGGTGTCCACTGCAGGCGGAGCAGGAATAGTCCTGGTGAAGGCAAAGGCACTGGGTGATCAGGAGGCAAGAGATGTCCAGCAGGCCTGTCCTGGTGGTCAGTCCAGGCGGGGAGAGGGTGAGCACTGTCTTCCCTGCCCGGCATCTGTCCCTTTATTCTGGCGTCGTCCAAAATACAGTCTTGCAGAGTCTTCAGAAACATGGTGCCTACCCCGAGCTCTAAAAGTGGGTTTGAAGCTTGTGCTTGGCCACGCTGGGCCATTCCTAGGCTCAGGGATGGG